ATGTACTAGACCCGACATAGCATATGCAGTAAGTCTTGTAAGAAGGTACATGGCGAATCCGGGAAAGGCTCACTGTCAAGCACTAAAGTGGATTCTAAGGTACATAAATGGGTCTCTGAATATATTCCTAATTTATGGTGGAGCCTTGGGTGAAGATAGTAAAGCAGCAGTTGAAGGATATATGGACTCTGATTATGCAGGTTGTATGGATTCCAGAAAATCTATTTCTGGATATGTGTTCACTATGTTTGGGACAACAATCAGTTGGAAAGTAATACTTCAAAAGGTCTTTGCCTTATCAACCACTAAAGCAGAATATATCGCCCTAACTAAAGTTGTGAAGGAAACATTGTGGCTTGAAGGTTTTGCAAATAAGCTGAAACTTCAAGGTCAAGTTATCACTGTTAAATGTGATAGTCAAAGTGCAACACACCTATCGAAGAATTCATTCTATCATGAGCGAACCAAACACATTGATGTGAGGTTGCATTTCTTCAAAGGGGTAATCAAGCGCGGAGAAGTCCAAGTGCTGAAGATTTCGAAAGATCATAATGCTGCTGATATGATCACCAAGACGTTGCCCGGTTGCAAGTTTCTCCACTGTATATAGTTGATAAAGTTGCATGAAGAAAGGTAGTTTCTTGAGGTTATAGAGTTAGATCCAAGGTGGAGATTTTTGAGATATTGGATCGAACTCTAGTATGGTCGAAGTCTTTTCGCGAGTAATGTGTGTTGTAGTCGAAGTTTGTTCTAACATGCATTAGTCAATATTGCTAGGTTGTTAGCATGTTGAATTGCGCCTTACTTGTAAGCCCAATTGTTTAAGTTAGCGTGTATCCTAATTTAGTTTGTAATGGGTAATTGTTAAAAAGTCCATTAGATTAGTGTGTTAGGTTTCTTATAAATAGCATGTTAGTCTCTCAACTTGTATAAGGAAAAATAGGAAGATAAAATTCTAATTCAAGAGAGAGAGGTTATTTGTTATTCTTGTATACTTGTAATCTTGTTTGATAGATAAAGGAAAGAATAACAGTTTATAACCAATCCTTGTTGTTTCTTCTGGTTCTTCTTGCTTGTTTTCTTTGTTAACCTAACCCTTGTGTGTTTCTGGAATATAAAGAAACTGATTATATTTTGTTTCAAGACATTCTATTCACAATATCGCCTTATCGCTTTTCTTAAAGCACTTTTCAATTCCAGCAAGGAAATATTTGACATTAGTCGTATCTTCTGATATAGTATCCCTAAAGACCTCAAGAATGTCACACTTAATGATCATGAGACACATGTGATTGGAGCAATCACACTTCTTATAATCTTTCCTCTATTCAAAGGTGGTAGATTTCGTAGGAGAATCAGGTTGCTTCTTTCTTAATGCAAGGTTAAGATTCATGCAACCGAGAACACTTTCTATGTTCTCTTTCCAGTCCTTGAAATTTTCTTCATTAAGAATCGGAACCGAATTCAGATTAGAAAATATTGAAGTAATTGTAGTTGAAAAAGAACAACAAAATTAAACATTTAAATATACTCACATAAAATAAAATTGAATTATCAATTTGTCCAAATAAAGACATAACTCATCTCAAGATACCTAATGCACGATCAATTTTGAGTCTTTGGACACTAGTATTAATTGCTAGTGGTATTTTTGTTGTAACAGTCAAATATTGATAATAAAAAAATGTAGAATAATAAACCGCTATTTGGATTGATTTATTATTCACATGTGAAACCTTATAATTATCACATGTTTATCATCACAGACTTGTATGAAAATCGACCAACCACCGACTGTCATTTAAGTCAATTGATATTCGCATGAAAAAACATAGACACAACCATAAAAATATTTAACATTTTTCGTATGCAATTTCTAAAAAAAAAAAAGATAACTTTAGCGACTTTTTCATTTCACATTCTCACTTAAAAAGTTAAACAAAGTTAAGCATACTGCGTACGGTAGTGTTACAAAAGTTAAAATATTATACTTGTTTACTGCATGTCACTAGTTACTTTGTACACTATATACTCTATTATGAAGCATTCTATGAAAAAAAGTTTCAATTACAAAAGAGGAATTTCCGAACAATGAGAAGCTGATATGAAAAATTCTATTATCAAGAGGAATTCATAATACATTGTATTTCAGTTAAATTATAAAATATAAGTCTCAAAAAAAAAATTTACGAACAATGTGCAGCTGATATGAAAATTCAATTATCAAATCAAGAAGAAATTAATAAAATTGAACAAATACAGAAAACTTAATATTCATGTCATAGACACAAACATAAATTTTACATAAAAATGAAAGATAAAAGCATCTCAATTTTGAAATCCTAATATAAGAAAAATTCCAAAATTCAAATAGAACCATTTACATAACAAAAAAAATTCTTGATTAGATAGAGACATTTGCGAGATAAAAACTTCTCATTATTCTACATTATTTAGAACTTATCCTCTCGCAATATATAAATTTAAAAACGAAATTAAAATATCAAATGGTTTGAAAAAATTTCACATAAATATTAAGGAGAGGGAATTTAAATTTTGAAATTGATCATTTGTGAGAGAACATCCCTAACTAACATATTCAATAAATTTTGTGAGGGACAACCCTATGCAGATTTTGTGAATGTATTATGTATTATGTTAATATTATTTTAGAAACAATATATTACTTATGTATTATATAACATACTGCTTTTATATATTATTTTCGAAATAATCGTTAAATTTATTATTATTTATTTTAGAATATTATTTTAAAAGTAATACCTTCTAAATAAAATAGTATAAATAATATTTTAAAAATTAAATAATTGTAGTTTTGACTAATTAAATAATAACTCTGATACATTTGTGATTCAAAAATTCTAACAAATATCTCATATTGACTTATTATTGGATGACCATATTTTATAGTTATATTTCATTCAAAGAGATTATAAATATTACTCTTTCACATATAGGAGGACAAATCTTATATAGGTCATTTATAGGGATGACAAAAAAAATTCGTATCTACGAATATCCGTGGATAAAATCTGTCACGGATATGGGCGGATAGTCTAATGGATACTCATAGATAAAATAAATGGATATTTAAATACCCGTTTGTTAATGGATATGGATATATGTTTAATGATATTTGTACCTGCGGATATCCATTTCCGTTAATAAATTATAAAAAATATTTAAATATCATTAGTTTATTATACCTTATTTTTTCATCTTTTAAAAAAAATTAGTCTTCTTTTTTTTATATATATATATATATATATATATATATATATATATATATATATATATATATATATATATATATATATATATATATATATATATATATATATATATATATATATATATATATATATATATATATATATATATATATATATATATATATATATATATATATATATATATATATATATATATATATATATATATATATATATATATATATATATATAAATTTTCTTTGAAGAAAACATTCCACATGTCATTTAAATTCTATTAGGCATTTCATATTTAAACTCTTTAATATTTCATATCTCACTTCAACAATTTCACAATCCAACCAACGTGTTGTCATTCCTCTATCGAACAAGTGTCTCTCTTCCTACTCTTCTATCGTCCGCTCTTTTATCATTACTCACAATCACAATATCTTTTATTCGTTTGGTTAAAAATGAAATGTATAGATATTATGTTTGGATCTAATTATGTTTTTGGTGAATAAGAAGAAAATTAATGCGATGTAATTTTATTGTTAAATTAAAGGCAAATTGTATGGTTGTTATGTGGGAGTAACTTTTTGTGTCTTTAAAAGAAGTTAAAAATATTTTTATGAAAAAAAATATTATCTATGGATACGGTAAATATCCACGGATACTGTAAAACCCGTGAATTACCCGCTTAATGGATACCCACATAATTATGAGGCGGATATAAATATCATATTTATCCAACGGAACGGATACAAATATCATAATATCTATCTCATAGATATCCATTTACATCCCTAATTACCTATGTTCTTCCACGTAAATATTACTCTTACACATTTAAGAGGACAAATGTCATTTAAGTCACTTGTCTTTACGATATTTGACAATACTAAAATGATAATCCCTTTAAAGATTATGATTTCCAATTAAAAAGTAAAATAGATTATTATTATTATTATTATTATTATTATTATTGTTATTATTATTATTATTATTATTATTATTATTATTATTATTATTATTATTATTATTATTATTATTATTATTATTATTATTATTATTGGAATAATTTATAACACTTATATAATATATTATATAATATTGTTACGGTGAATTAATCCATTAGAAATATTATTCTCAATATTTATTGATACGTAAAGATTTGATATATCATATTTATCATCATGATTAGTTTACTCACAAAATAATATTTTGTAAGCCTAATTGTCCTATTTTACAATTAGATTTGATTACATATGATGTCTCACAATAAAATCACACTTAACTATTCTAAGACATTATTACTCTAAATAAAAAAAAAATATTTTATTATAAATAATAAACTAGATATAAATCTTAAATTTAATTATAAAATCATTGAGCTCTATCACTTATAAGCTAACAATTACTAAATAAGCCATTTACAATGAGTGATTAGTAACTGATTTAAGAGCAATACAATATATTCCTTAATTGAAACACACACTACATGGCTATTTCTAATATCAAGTTAAGCATTCTATTCCATCCACTTCAACTACATTCTAGACTATCTCAAATACTAACTCAAACCACAAAAGATAGGTAGAAGAAAACCATTAAAAACCAAATATAAACATCATATCCTAAATTGTTTCAAAATTTCTTGTTTCCCCGAGATAGGGAGAACGAGACCAAAAAGAAAATCCATAAAACACAAAATAAAGGAAGCAAAATGTAGTTGCAAGTTACAACATCTCATGTGTGTAACTAACTAGTCTAGCATATCACAATATCAATGACAATCTCGTTAACCAAACTAGTTAACACATCATTTTCCAATTCTAGAACAAGTTGTTCTTTTTCTTGATCATAATTCTTCCATTCGTTACATCTTTCCATCTCACTAATGTAGACCTGTCTTCCTTCTTTCACTTCCCAACTCAAATACGGTTCTTGGGGTTTTCCTCGCATCCAATCATCAACTACATGGCAAAGGTTAAGATTCTTTGGATGATTAGCATTATTGTTTTCTTCAATGCTTTGTTCTAAGTAATCAAACAGTAGTTTCTCAGTGTTAATCATCAAACTGTTTAACTCATCCTTGTTTTTGTTGTCTCCAATAACTGACTCTATTGTTGGCAATGAACATTGTTTTGAAGAATAGTTGTGTGGTTCGTCTTCTAGCTCTAAGCATTTGATCCTTTTCTCTAAATCCAATGGCTCCAATGAAGATATGTTCTCAAAATGTCGTGTCTTCTGTATATGCTTGTTTTCTGCTCCTGTAATCGTAAATATTGCTTTTATTTGTCAGATAAAATAAAATAATATATTTATATGTAAAACTATTCAAATTTTTGTGATATTGTGTGGTTGAAACTTGAAAGGATATCGGAATGACCTTGGAAGAAAGAATTGATCCTGAAACTAGATTTCATCTCTTCTTCATCTTCAAATGGGCAATCTAATATTGATACAGGACTGAATTGCTCCTTCTCGTTTGACCAATCCTGTTTCATAAAAAGTCGTTCGATCAGTACAAATTTTCATTTGATGAAGTGTAATTGATTTAACTAATACTCATAATTATAAGCAAAACTGAATAAGAAAATTAGTTAAATATAATTAATTTTCTTGGTTTTATGTATAATTAAAGTAAAATTTACTATCATAACTGTAATTATATTTTATTAATTGATAGCATTTGATAAAACAAAATTGAATAAATTTTGTCAAATTCAAATTTTAGAAAGATAAATATATTTACCAAACTACCCCTATATTTGAATTGAAGATCAAACTCGTATTGTGCAGCGATGCTGTGTCAGCATGTGCAGTGAGTTTCAGCGGCGTAGATGGCGCTTTGGTGTACAAGACTGCTGTAGGATGACTCATCCCTAATTAATTGCATGGTGTACTCTATTATAAACTAATAAAATTATTTTTTACATAAAAGTATTACTATTCTGAATATTATTTCAATTGTTTTAATTTATATTTTTATAACAACTTATAATTTGAAACTGAATTATATAATAGAATTAAAAGATTGAATTTGGAAATTACTGAATTACCCCATCCGTTCCTGCTTCTTTCTTGTGCTGAAGCGGAGCGCCGTCTTTGACGCCGTCAACTAGGTCATTTTCAGTGGGGCTGTCGGAGGAAGTAGCGTTTGATGCAAACGTGAATTCACTTTCTCCCCAGCTGTTACTGCAACCGCCTGAAGAAACAGTGGTGATGCTTTTGGGAGTGAAAACAGTATCCTCATCCAACGACGTTGGTTTATAATCTCGTTCCTGGATAAGAAGTTCGCGGAAAGATCTCCTACACCTCAGTACACCTTCGCTTCCCTCTCCCTTCCCTGCTTTTCTCCAGAACCTTCTGCTTAACAGCTTCCTCGAGAAGCTTCTAGAAAGAAGATTTTGTGCAGCTTTCTTTGATTTGCCACTCTTTTGGGAGGACAATGACTTGATGGCTGTTATTACTGCTCCGGAAGCTCTCTGCAGAGCGGTTATGGCGGGCCGTCGTCGAGGGAGTGTACTTGTAGTGCTCCTCTTGCGTTGGAGTTTGAGATCTTTTTCCTTGACAAATCCAACGGTGGTGCAGCATTGTCTACGCGGGAATGATTTGAAACCGCTGGATGAACATGAGCTCAGGTCGTCCCTGAGATAGTCCTTGAGTAAAAGGGTAGGTTTTGAAGCACATTTGGTTGTTTTTATTAGACAATCATCGCGGCGACGAGAAGGTTTGCAAATATTTGAAGCCATATGTGTTTGCTTTTAGAAAGAGAAGAAAACAGCTAGCGGAAGAAAGTGAACTATGGCAAGAAGTATAGATACACTGATATTTATATATAGATGGAGACGAGAATTGAGAAGAACTTGGGAAAGAGAGAAGAAGGTTCGGAAGTGAAGATCTGAAATCTGGAAAGTATATTGAGTAGGAAGAAGACAAAGGTAAGTGAGAGACTTGTAATGACAGTATCGAAAATGATATAACTAATATAACTGCAAGGGATGGCTGCAGAGAGAAGAAGCAGCTAGGATGCTTCTTAATTCATATTCATATGATGTATATGTGTGCGATAAAATTTGAATCTCAGGTGGAGAGATTATTTTATTACTATATTATTTGGTTCAATATGTAAACTATGTTGTTGAGTATGAGTAAACAAGTAGATATATGTTGCTTGCTTTGGACTATCACTAGACCTGTTTTTGACTCTTTAGAATTTCACACTCGTGACTCGTGAGTGATAGCCAGGCATGTGTGCACGTGTATGAGAGATCTCTCCTGGTTGACTTCTGCGAGACAGCAATCTCCTTGTTGTTTTTTGTCCTATTTAAAAGCAATATTTCACACATTTTTAAGTTGCCAATTGCTAATAATTTGATACCTTTTCTTGAACTTATAAATTAAAATTACTAATACCTTTTGATTTATGAAACACGAGGGTTAATTGGATATATGATCTAGTCTTCATTCCTTCTTTTTGTACGTTATTTCTTCAAATGAGAAAAATATATCTATAAAAATACTTTGTTGTCAAAATAAAATAGAATGTGAATAGGTTATAAGTGATTTATTTGGGAAGAGAATGATAATATTAAAAGATAAACTTTTATTTATAATATATATAAGTGTTACTCTATTCTCTATTCTCTTGATCGCTTCTATTTTCACTCAAATGATTGTTGCAGTAAAAAAATAGTCTATTGTACTTGTTAGAAGTACAAAACGTGACATCCTCTTTGTGGTGTTACAATGATCTCACATAGGGATAATAAAAAGCTCTTTATGTGGTGTTAAGCTCCAAGAGAGTGACAACCACTCTCAAAAACTTAGGAAATGGGTAGTCAACTCTTTTATTATTTAGGAGAACATGACATTTTTCTTTTTACTCCCTTTCTCGTACCCTGGCGGGTCGCGACATGTCACTCCCCATGTTATCGCGAACGAGCGACTAACTTGAGAAACACACGATATATCAAGAAATGAGTGTGCGTCCCATTAAATGAGTTGCTAGAAAGTTCATGCGCCCCTCTAGGGGATGGGCTTTTTACTTATAGCAGTACACTCTTGTTGCGGCAAGAAATGGATATCAAACTATTGATTAACTTGAATAAAAAAATTTTAAATTCACCATCGAGCTTTAATTTATCTAAAGGAAAGAGTAAAGATCAAAGAAAATCCTAAGTGTGCTATGTAACAACAAAGCTAATAGAATTTAAGGTTCGGGGGGTTGGTTATACCTAGGGAAGGTGCTAGCATCCTAAGTATCTGAAGTACTCTACATGAACCTCTTGTTAGTATTTGTGTTATGCTAAAGTTTGCTTGCTAAGGGAAAAGTGCTAAGGCAAAGACGTATGTACAAAATATGATCTCCAAGACATCGCATCTCGTGCCCACGTATGCTGACAAGGATGAAATCAGAGCGCCCGTAGTTCACCTAACTATGGGTGAGGAACTCTTGACTGTGGTCAAAGTTCCAAGGGGGGAGGTAAGTGTCTGTGGCAAGATATCTACATAGAGTGTGGCGAATCTAATCCTAAGGCTAGGATGTAAGGGAATAAAAGGGAAGAACTTAAAGAAAGAGTAAGTTAGGCTAAGTTATCCTAGATATGACATGGCAGTCAACTGACAATCCTTTCCTTTGGAATGATATAGGCAATTAATACGAGGAAATAAGATCAAGTTGTGAAAGTACTAGATATAAAATAAAATCAAACAAAGAGAAATAATATGATAAAAGATGCATGATGAACATAGGATATGAACAACAACATAGTCAAGGTAAAAATCAAAATCACAAAATCGACAAAAAGATCCTAAGTTACAAGTCACGAAAATTAGAAATCAAGAAAGTTAGTTAAAATCAAAATGATCAAAAATTAATTCTACGTAACTATATTCTAAACAAAAGTCAAAAATCGAAAAGATAATGTACACAAACGAATTAAGAAAATATAAAAATAACAAACGAAACAAGATTGATTTAAAAAATTAATTGAGAAATTATTTAAAAATCTAAAGGATCTAAGATTAAAAGCCTAGATAATTAATTCTAAATATGAATCAAAATTAAAGGAATTAATTCAAAAACTAATAGGAAAATATTTTTTTGAAGTTTTGTTTTTAATTTTAAAACTAAACTAATTAACACAATTAATCAATTAAAAAACAATTAGCCAATTAATTATTTACTATCCTAATAATTAAATACTAATTAGAATTAATCAAAATGATGAAAATGAATAAATACAAACAAATATGGAGGTGCATATATATGAACACACTTGGGCTCAAAGCCCAACAAAACACCCACCAAAAAAATCTACCAAAGAAGGGAGCATGGGCACATGGGGACGGACGATTTCACAAGGAGAGAGGGTAGATTTTGAATTTTGAAAGACTTTAATGAAATTTCAACACATAGCATCATCAAATTAATAATAAATCTCTTAACCAAATACTTAAAGTAAAATACATGCATAATAAATAATTAAAAAAGACTATTTAAAAAAAAAAAGGGAAAATGCTTAGTCAAAACAACACAAGATCTTTTCACGTAAAAAATACAGAAAAGAAGAGAGGAAACCTTATTCTCTCCAAATCTCAAGCTCCCTTCTTCGATGCTTCATATCAAATTTAAAATAGCATAAATGAAAATGAAAAAAAAAATAATAGAAGAGGGAAACTACCATAATAGAACATGGCCAACAACGATTGCGGTGGTGGACGACTTCACGTCGTCGTGGTTACGGCGGTGTTGTTGTTTGGAATTGTTGTCGGGACAGAAAATGTTGGCGTGAATAGTGGTTGTTTTGAAAAAGAAAGTGAGTTTATGGTGTGCGTTTTCAAGGTAGAGGCACCATGGAGGTAAGGAGTTGTAAGGTGGTATAGTAACGGAGTTTTTAAGGTGACACTATTAAGGCGTATTTGTATGTGAAAAAAAAGGATGAATTGGTTTAGTGGAATGAAGAAAGTTGGTGAGGAAATGTCACTGATATTTTTGTGGTTAATGGTTTATGTGAGAGATATCACAAAGTGAGAGTTAGCATGGTGATGTTCTTTTAGATGGAAGATTTAAATGAAGAAAAAAAATGATGGAGAGAAAAGTTCATTCATGTTTTTCTACTAAAAAGATATCTTCTTTCTTCCAATGAAAGAGTTAAGGTAACAGACTTTATTCTTTAATTTAAGACATGAGGGAGAGGTGTAGATGATGGACTAAAAGTGATAAAGGTTATGTTGACTTTGATGTCAATGTTGTTGTAAAATATGCAGGAAAAAAACGATCTTTTTAGTGAAGAAAGAAAATGTTTTTTTTTAGAGAAAGGAAAAGGTCATATGAGTTATACAGTAAAGTTCATAAAAAACAAGCTTGTGTGATTTCTTTACTTTTTAATTTTATTTTTTATAAAAAAAAGTTGAAGTTAAAAGATGAGAGAGAGATCATGTATAGTGCAGTGGAGGGAGTGAGTGAAAGGGGTGATGCTTGATGGTAGCAGGTGGGTCAAACGTGGGGTGATGTGCATGTTTTCCTTTTTTATGAAAATGTGGGTGAGGTAATGTGTTGTATGCATGTCATGCTATATACTAGGATATTTCACACAAAAAGAATAAGAACAACAAATATTGAGACCTGTCTAACAAAATTAAAATAAAGATAAACAAAATTTTAGCTGATTAACTAGGATAAAACAAATATATACTAGGATATTAAAACTAACTAAAACAAAATTTTATATTATTATTATTTTATTTTATTTTTTAAAAGAGAAAAGATAAATAAAGATAAATTAAAATAAACCAATAAAATAATAAACCTAAAATCTGATTAAATAAAAAATATTTAATTAAAATTAAAATTAAGTTAAAAGCGATAAAACGGATCGATGTCGAAGCGTTCGAAAAAATAAAATGAACACACCAAAATGATCCGCGCAAAATAAACGACCCAAAAAAATACAGCAGTTGGTCAAATTTTGAATAAATTTTATCCGGTTAAACAACTCAAACTGATCAAAATGTGACCGTAAAGTAGTCGAAATATTAAAACGAGCACGTCAGGTTAAACTACGTGAAGCGTAGATTAATATCACTAACATTTGCAAGCTCGACTTTGAAATTTTTCGTCTACTGATTTTACGCACAGTTGACTTTTAGTTTGATCAATTCGGCTGTAAATCCAACAAGTTTATTCCATCTCATAAATTAGATGTTATGCGAGATGAAACACATGATAAGCTATGCAGATGATGACGGAATCTAGGGGTAAAATTTGGGGTATGACAGTTGCCCCTATTTAAATATCTTTGTTGGATGACATGAGCGATGATAATTCTCATGAAATCATGGTGAAAGATATTTAAATACAGAAAACCGAAAATTTTGCTCTTAGATGCAATGACGTGTTATGTTATGGACAAAAGAAAACTACTCAGACAACGCTAAGAACAATGTTGACGTGCAATAAACTCTATCATGATGAAAATATTGAAATAATAAATGCAAAATCCAAACAAAAATGAAAGAAAAAAAGGATAGAGTCAACACAACGAGTAACCACTCACTGGGGATGACAATAACACTAGGGAAACTGAAACAAACTGGGAAAATCTAAAGTGATTAATCAATCTGTTCAGGCATAACCGGCTGACATTCTAGAAAGAAAAGTTCCTCACTGGAGCTTGAACCGAAAAGACGGTCTCCACCGGGGAAAGAAAATAAAATAAGACATCTAAAGTGATGGATCAACAGGTTC